GCCACGTTTCAGTACTTGTTAAACCTTGGCTGCTGTGAGCTGGATCTCACGTACAAATGCCATCCCTTCAGTTTTTTGTGTGTTTGACCACAGAGCCCCAGCTCAAGGACACATGGCAGGCTTGTGAGATTCAGCCATCTTTGATCGAAGTAATTTTCTCTTGATCTGCAGTTTTAGGATGTGCTGCCATTGCTGAAAAAAGCAGTAGCAAACATGGTGGGGAGGGTATCAAAGCATGGAGGAATGCAATGGCCACAGCAGGGTTTTGCACTTCGGGCCTACATGGTAAGTAGCACCAACTTCAGCTTTTTATGGCTTGGCATATGGTTGCCTTATCCCCTTTCTGACCAAATTATCAAATTCTAATTTGAAAAAAAAATAAATAGAAGATTTAGGTTTATTATACAATTCAGCTTGAAAAATAAACAGTAGCTGCTAATCAGTAACAAAGTGGCAATGGTTTGCTGAACCATTACCACTGACTATTTGGTGGGAACAAATTGCTCCATCACATCTCTAAAATGGTATTTTTTGGCACAGTTCCATAGAAGAAATTTGCTCTACATCTTCTGTGTATTTTGTTTAAAGCTGTACAATGAAATCACACTGAGCTTCACTCGCAAGATGTGTGCTTCATGTGTAACTAATTGATAGGAAACGGGAGCGGAAAGGAGCTGCGTAATGAAGCATTCAGCAAACATGCCTTCATGACCTGTTGTATTTAGAAAACCCTAGTTCAGCTCCCACACTGACTCCCATGCAGCTCTCCCATGTAATTCTCCAAGTACGTGTAAAACAAAACCAGCTGGATGCTTATTTAGGTTTTCCAGCCACCATGTCCCGAAACAGCAAGAAGTTCATAGGTTTTGCTTGGGAAAGTATCTGCCACTGGAGATGATTGAAAATCCTCCCCTGTACTGTTAGCTCCCATCTTTCCTTGTGCCAGTACTGCTTAGCTATGCAGATGAATCTACCTTTTTCGCAGGTATTGTAGAGGACTTTGAAGAGCAGTTATAGTGTAAATTTTGCTAACAAATTTTGATAATTCACAAAGGAGAAAAAAAGTTTTCACATTTAAGAATTAAAGAAACAGTTAAAGCCATATCAGGGTGCTAAAACTCCAGGGTTTACTAGCATCTACTTTACATAGAAAATGTAATATTTCTAATTTCATCTCATAACTGGACATTTGGGTATTTGTTGTTGTTTGTTTGGTTTTTTATTAGTACATTACATGAATCCACACAAACTATTCACTGTATCATAACATGGTCTTTCAAAGTGTGTTCTAATGTACAATTAGATAATAAACTTGCTTTTGAATTGCTCAGCAATGATCTGATCCCCGCAACTTTTATCACTAATAGATGAGTGGTCTTTCAAAAGGGTTCCCATGTGTGTTTGAATGGCAAGATAAAAATCAACAAACCCTTCTCTGTATCCCAGTATCACACAGTATGTTAGAGATTGGAAGGGACCTCAGAAGATCATCTAGTCCAATCCCCCTGCCGGAGCAGGAACGCCTAGATAAGTTTACACAGGAACGTGTCCAGGCGGGTTTTGAATGTCTCCAAAGAAGGAGACTCCACAACCTCCCTGGGCAGCCTGTTCCAGTGTTCTGTCACCCTCACTGAGAAGAAGTTTCTTCTCAAGTTTAAGTGGAACCTCTTGTGTTCCAGTTTGTACCCATTGCCCCTTGTCCTATCATTGTTTGCCACTGAGAAGAGCCTGGCTCCATCCTCGTGACACTCCCCCTTTATATATTTATATACACTAATAAGGTCACCCCTCAATCTCCTCTTCTCCAAACTATAGAGACCCAGCTCCCTCAGTCTTTCCTCATAAGGGAGATGCTCCACTCCCTTAATCATCTTAGTTGCCCTATGTACCATGGGCACCTCTGTACCATGACTCACACTTAATCCTACACCTCTCTAGCATGACAGACATCAGTGACCTAAAAGTTCTGATAAAACACAAATAAATCCAGCTTTGGCAAACAAGAAGCTGTTGCAACTTACTGCGTTGATCTGTAAATTATCATTAATTACTGCAGTGCACTGCTTAATTAGAAAACTCTACTTAATCAAGGTGCTTCCCAAGGAATCAATTTAAACCTAATGATACTTGTGACAAGGACAGCTGCTTAATTGGGATGGTAATTTCACTTAATTGGAACACCTTCAGGTGACGTGGGTGACAACCTGCATGTGTCAGTTCAGTGCATTCTCCTTGTGCATTTGCCCCCCTCTGCCCTCACAGCTGGTTCAGTGCAAACTACCCAACATTGCTTCCCAGTGGATAGCAGCCACCTTCCTATTGCTCGGAAGGACTTCCAGTGTAACAGATTGCTCAAAACAGTGCTCAATACAGCACTGCCACAGGGAAAGCAAGTTAGCCACTTCTCCAGCCTAATTTTAATGAAAATATTCAGCCCCTAAAGTAGCCAAGATTCTTCCATCCTAAAAAGGCTTAAGAAAAGATTAGTGTCATGTCTCTGAAGCCTTAAGATGTGCAATTTCATGTTGTTCATTAAAAAGCTTAGTCTTAACTGGAACAATTGCTGAAACTGAATTAAACACATGCATACCAAGGCCTCTAGCTAAGATTGAATAACCAGTATTCAACATTTAATACCTAAAGAAAAATATTATTGTATAGAACCTACTAGGACAGAGGATGGTCTCTGGCTAAAACAAGAGCTATGATTACAGAAAGCTTGTGTTTTCCTCTTTACATTCATTTTCTATTGCAGTATGAAGTCTCTGGTACATTGTTTTTGTAAGATTCATCTTTAATAAGAGGGATGGAACATTCAGTGCCTTCAAGCAGGTTGATTGTCTGCCATTGCACTTGTATGAAAATAAGAGTATGCAGCTGGAGGTGCTGAAATTTGCTTGCTGCTGGGAAGTAGTTGGCTTTCTGTTGATGCAGTTATCATAGAATCATAGAATGATTTTGGTTGGAAGGAACCTTAAAGCTCACCTTTAAAACCACAGGCAGGGGCACCTTCCACTAGACCAGGTTGCTCCAAGCCCTGTCCAACCTGACTTTGAACACTGCCAGGGATGGAGCAGCCACAGCTTCTCCTGGCAACCTGTGCCAAGGCCTCACCACCCTCCTATGGAAGAATGTCTTCCTAAGATCTCATCTCAGTCTCCCCTGTCAGGTTAAAGCCATTCCCCTTGTCCTGTCCCTACAGGCCCCTGTCAAAAGCCCCTCCCCAGCTTTTCTGTCACCCCTTTAGGCACTGGAGCTGCTGTCAGGTCTCCCCTTAAGGAGCCTTCTCTTCCCCAGGCTGAACCAGCCGGGCTCTCTCAGCCTGTCTCCAGAGCAGAGCTGCTCCAGCCCTCACAGCATCTCTGTGGCCTTCTCTGGACTCACTCCAACAGCTCCACATCCCTCTTGTGTTGTTGCCCCAGAGCTGGGTGCGGGACTGCAGGAGGGGTCTCCACAGAGCTGAGCAGAGGGGGAGAATCCCCTGCCTTGGCTTGTTCCTCTTTATGCAGTCCAGGACTATTGTACAGACCCAAATTTCAGAGAGCAGAGATTATGGCTGACAATCTGTTTTAGCTTGTACTTGCAATTAAACTGTGTTTGGCTACTCCCCCATCAACAAAGCTTGTTTATTTTTTTTCTTTTGATTGGAGATAAGGATCAAATAAGAAGAGGAAGGAGGCATCTACATATTATCTTCATCGACCTAAGCTACGGAAGCAGAGAACACACAACATCAGTGTAGACATAATGCGAGCTATCCAAATGTTAGAAAAAAATACCAATTGCTTTTGAGAGAAGTTGTGATCTTTTAGAACTGATGCCACACACACCAGCTATCATATCAGTGGTGTATAGCACTGCTTTCTTATAGCCCTCATTGAAAACTTACTGTAAACTAGCGACTTGTCATGTTTTCAGCCAGCTTTAGGAGATCCTTCCCAGCTAACCTTATGTGGTTTTATTCATGTACAAGGGGATCAGTGTCACAGACAGATAAAAGTAACATTGCCTTGCTTTCAAAAGCAAGATAGAAACAGGCCATTTTCCTTTGCAACATTAAGGAAACAGAGATTAGCAGGAGAGGAAGCAACTTAAGGGTATGCGCTAAATACCTCTCATGTGAAACTGAGCCTGCACCCCAGCATTTTAGAAAGCTATCCTGGAGGTTTTACTTGAGAAAAAGCAACCTATCAAGGATTTCAAGTTTTTGTCCCAGAGAAAGGAGATTTATAAAATGTTGCTGGGGGAGAAGATCTTATTGTTGTTACCCTTACTGCCTCAAAAAACACCTTGCAAAACCTGCTGCCACAAGAAACCCAAAGCCTGCTTTTCAAGCTCACTGCCAGCAGCACCCTATTACAACACTTCCAGTGACGATAATGAAAGCCGTCTCATGAAGCCCGGTGACAATTACAGCTGTGTGCACTGTGCTCGTAATACAGCAGATTAATCGTGCTCTGGTCCTTGAATGAGACCCATAAATCGGCACGATGATGTCATACAGTGATTCATACTTGAGGTGTGATTCATGCAGCTGCAATAATTGTGTGGCAGGTCATTCAGTGAGAAAGCACATTACAGGATTGAGGGCTGCTGTTTTATGAAAGAGTAAGGGAACATGGAGAAACAAGATAATCAGTACTACAGATCAAGTACCTGCCCTGGCTAGTTTGCATATTTAATGTGAGACACAGGTTTCCTCTCAGCTCTGACCAGGTTTTATTAAAGTAAATACTCTGCAGTTTTATTATACAAGTAGAAGTTCTCTTTAAGCTTGACTTTGTACATGTATGTAAATTATTACTCTTTAAAAAGAAAACCTTGTGACATAGCAAAATATTTTCCCAGCTTCTGTACAAAAATAGCTCTTTTTTTTTCTTTCTCTTTTTCTGGTAGAAGGCATTGAATTTTTTACTGCATTAAGTGGCCTGTGTAATTTTTACAAAAGTGGTATAAAACCACATGAAATATGCAAAAATTCCAAAGTGCACTCCGACAGCTAATGCTTTGCAAATACTTTATTACACAAATTACATTCAGCTTCTGAAAATAGTGTTCTAACAGTGATACCATCTAAAAATAAGACATCCCAGAAACACATCAAGTTTGGAAGAAGAAAAAAAATTAAATAGAGACTTTTTTCTTTCCTTCAATGCAATATAATGTTAGTGATTTTAAAAAAATAGAAGAAGATTTAGCAGCTTTATTTTCTTGTGGCACTGTATTTTCTCTGTACTGCAACAAGTTAAGGACATTGAAGAGGAAAGGCACAAAACAGAAATTGGCAATTGAATAGTTACAGGAAAAGTATTTTGATGAAGCAGATAGTATGACTTATTTACAAGATCCCCAGTTTAAAATGAGAAAATTCTACTGCTTTAAATCAGTGCTGCAATTAGAAGACTTTGCTTTATTAAGATGCTCACATAAAAAACAACAGCACTGATTTGGAACTTTCTTACACTCCTCTGCCTAAAAAAAACATAATTAAAACCAAACAAAAACTAAAGGAACCAGTGTACAGCCCCACACAGACTCGTACAGTTTACAATTAAATACACAAAATCTTAAACGTGCTTTAAGGGAAAAGGAATATGACTTTTTGGGTTGGATCGTATAATGGAGAACTTAAAGGCTGGTTTCAGGAGGATAAAGGTGCTGGTGGAGTTGGTGGTGCTGAACACTCTTCCTCTGAATCTGTGCCTTCATCTTCATCTTTTTCTTGATCACTGCCTTCAGTGCTCACTCGGTCAAAACCTTTTCGACTGTAGCTCTTGTGACTTGCAAAAAAGTTCCCAAGATTAAGGCCACCACTGCCTTTCCCTGTGGAAAGGAAAGGTTTGTTGTAACGCTTACTTTACTCTACGGGGGAATAAAAATCTATCTGCTGATTCACCAGGATAATGGAGACTATTTTACGTGTCCTTACAGAAATTGTTTTTAAAGATCAGCACATTAGCCACAAAAGCTAAGTACAGAGATTATGAATGGGAAAGGAAATTAATTTTTGAAGGAGAACTTTTAAACAGCATCCGTTGTTTCACTAAGTCTTTATGTAACCTACTTGTGTTCCCAAGTTTGCCCTTCATCTCAAAGTGCTTAATTTCCTTCACCAGATTTAGATAACCCATTATAACAGGTACTGCTCTGCCACTGGTAGTGACACATCCTCTTCAGTGGGCAGATAATGATGGATGAAAGGTGTCATAGAATACATTTTCACAAAACACCTGAGGTTTGCCCCCAGTCCTTTCTCTGAGAATGTTCCATCAAATCTGTTATTCAACTAGAAGTGGACAGAAAAAAAGCCTCCACTTATTGTTCTTAAAAAAATCCTGAATGACTCAGACTCACCTCTAACTCTGCCTAAAATTCTTCCTGAACTTGAATCAAGTTTGTGTTCCCCATCACCTGAAAAACAAAGCAGATTTCAAAAATAAGCTAAAAAAATAATATTCTATTATTAAATACAAATGAAATATGAAATATAAACCCACAAAATTAAGTATAATTAAATAATTATCTAGGATACAAAGCACAGATATTCAACAAATTGATCAGCAGCTCTAACAAGTAAAACTGACACTTTTCAGTTTCTTGATTAAGGAGAAATTGTAATTCCTAACAAAATCACTATACCACAGATGTTTATGCCAATTCAACTATTAAGAATATTCACATGCAAGATATTTCTGAGAATTTAACTCCCTCAACTGTTCACTCATGTTACTGTGAAGAGTTTGCTATTTATAACGTATGCAACTACATTGCAGCACACTGCAAACTGCAGCTTGACATTTGAAATGGTATCATTTCCCTTGAAAGAAGACTGTTTTTGTGGAAGACAGTGAATTTCTTCAGGTATTTTGGAGGAACTTTCTCTCCCCCTTCACACACTGCATCTATCCTCCCCCCGGTACCTCTTCCCATCCTTAAAAAAAAAAAAAAAGAAAAAAAAGAGTGCCATGACCTATCTGTCTTTTCTTATATACTACATAGCTTCCATAAACCTGTGCAAGAAGGTACTTTTACCAGTGTAACTGTATCATGCCCCTTGACACAGTAAATTCAAACACTGCTTGAATCCTACTGGAATCCAAAGATGCTATTTAGGTCACATCCATTAATGGCAGGACTGCAGTTGTCTTGAGTGTTAGCATATCTAATACGCTAAACTTGTTTGAACACAAAGAAGTTAGGAAGCTTTTATTTGAAATCTTCAAATAAAATACATCCAGTTCAGCTGCACAGCAACAGAAGATCTCTGAATTACCTAATCTGCCACTGTATGTCCTAGACAGTAGCAGAACTATTTTATTTATCTATTGCATGTACCTTTTCTTTATGAGAGTATCTAGATAAAGCTATTTATGCAATACAAAGTATCATGATCGAACTCCTACTTTAGTCTACCATTTTGTCAAAAACAATTTACTACGAAATATGAACTAGCAGCAAATTTACATAGCATTGTAAGTACCAGTTAAAGCACTCACAGCAATGGGTAGAGGTCTATTATGGTATCTGACTCACAAAATGCACAAGGTAGTAATGAACAATAATACATAATGCCTTGTAAATGTTATCTGTTTGCTTTTTGCATATACTGTTAGAGTCCTTTGTTTTCAAAAATTTAAAGATCCCAAACTGAAAATCAAACTATGCTCAAAAGTATTAAAATTTATGTATTCTAGACATAAATTTTATATCATGAATATATTCTCTAATTTCTGAGACACAAGTTTTTGTCTTGACACCAGTTAAAGTTTTAGATACATATTCTGAAAAGGTGGTGGCTTGAGATGCAATGTTAAAGGCTGCAGTTGCTGTGTGCACACTGATTCTTGGTTTGCATGCAGTGTCACTGCTGTAACTGTTCAGAAGGGTAAAGGGACAGTGAGCCTCTCTCTTCATACCCTCATGCTTCGGTATTCAGCAGTGTTTTGAACTGCAATAATAAAAGCCTGTTCTCTAGAGTTACTCACGGTTACCTCCATAGACAGTTGTCTTCCTCCATCGAATAAATAATAAAATTGCCAGCAGAACAACAACAGGGATAATTAGAAGAGTTGTAATAAAAACAAATGAAATTCCAGTGCTGGTGTGTTGTTGGACTAAATGTTGTTTTTCCTGCTTCTTTACAGGGTCTGTTGATTCTGGGTTGTTTTTCAATCTGCCTTCTACAATTGTTCCTGATTCTTTAAAGAGAAGATGATTTCAGCATGTAATCCATTTGCATCAAGCAACAGAACAAGGCATTAAAGAACAAGCTAGAATACCTGAAGTGTATAACAAGGAGTAACAAGGACACAAAGGAAAAACACTTATGGATACATTTTTAGCTCCTGCTGGTGTTATTCCAAAGTAAGGCAGAGAGAGTCTGAATATCACTCACTGGCAAAGATGCTCTCCCTTTTTCTCAATGGGGAAAGGAGAGGTGTCAGGGAGAGTTTATTCTTAAAAACTATCTATGATTTAAAAGACAGGAAAATCCCCAAAAGATCTATTTTTGCAAGTAGGTGTGTGATGTAATGTCAAATAAATATCTCATTCTGATAATAACACTTCCAAAGGTAATGTAGAAATCCAGTATATTATGTATTATCATAAAAAATAAAGGAAGGCATTTAAAGTTCTTTTTAATAAAATTTGTGACAAAGGGTTATATTTTCCAAACTCCCATGAGAGAACTTTGGCTCTGGAAGTCTGGAGAACATTTGAAAACTGCACCTGAGCATTTCTGACTGATTTATTACCTTTCCACCTACAAGGAGAAAACCAATTCCAATAAAATCCTCTATGCTGTTTTGTATGTGCATAAAGAATCACATGCTTTGTGCTAACTTAATGAATAAATATGTCTAGCTATATATATTAAAGTCTGCTTTAACTGCTGTCCTGGGTTTGGCTGTAACAGTTATTTTTCTGCTTCCTAGTAGCTGGTGCAGTGCTGTGTTTTGGCTTTGGTCTGAGAACAAAGCTGATAACACACCCATGTTTTAGCTATTGCTCTGTAATGTTTACCCCCATCAAGGACTTTCTGAGTCTCATGCTCTGCCAGGGAGAAGGGGCGTGGGAAGCCAAAAGGAAGCAGAGACAGGACACCTGACCTGACCTAGCCAAAGGTGTATTCCATACCACAGGACATCATGCCTAGCATATAAACTGGGGGGAGCTACCCGGAAGGCCCAGATCACTGCTCAGGTCAGGCTGGGTATCGGTTGGCAGTTGGTGAGTAATTGTATTGTGCATCACTTGTGCTTATTGTTTTTTTCCCTTCTCCTTTTAGTTTTATATTCTCTTCCCCTGTTATTTCCCTTATCATTATTATCATTACTGGTGGTAGCAGTAGTGATTTGTGTTATACCTTAGCTACTGGTCTGTTCTTATCTCAACCTGTGGGAGTTACATTCTTTTGATTCTCCTCCCCATCCCTGCAGGAGGAGGAAAAGATGAGGAAGTGGGCAAGCGGCTGCATGGTTCTGAGTTACTGGCTGGGCTTAAACCACAACAGCTGTATGTCTTAAGTAGCTGTGTCAGGAACACTCTATATCAACTCTGTTTTGATTCTGTATCAAACTTAAAAATGATGTTTTGTTCTGAAAGAATAGCAAATGCTTCAATTTACACTGAACACACTAATACAGTGATAACAATTATAGTGCTGTCTGTTCAAATAGTAGTTACAGCCAAGAGCAACTTTCCTCCACTGTCTTGTCTACCTCTGAGCGAAACTACCCTTCTCCACACAAGAGAACTTCTACGTCTCCATAGTCACCCACTTCACACCAGCACAATAGTAACAGCCTGCCACAAGGAGGTTGTGACAATACACGCCACGCCTGCCCATTTATTAAGCAGAGGATGGCACAAAGTCCATTGGCTACCTGTTTTCCTCAAGTGGAGTTGAAAGATGTTAATTTCAGTACAGGTACCCTAAACAGTTTTAGAGTTTGTTACTTAGGAACTGCTTCTGGTGGTACTACTGCAATAGCATTAGGACTGTCAGCTAGCTATCTTCCTAAAGAAGCCAAAATGCATTCTTAATTTATCTCTAGATCTGTTCTACTATGAATGCTGTATTGTGAGCACTTCACTCCTGAGCGCCTCAGTAGGGCTGATGTACCAATAGAGAGAAAACAGAAGGATAACTATTTTGACAATAAGGATTTCATTGTCTTATAATCTCAGCCTCTTTTATTCTACTTTGTTCTATATGCTTGGTATTGCCAGTTGGGATCTGTTAGTATCCTCCTCTGTCTGCATATACACGGCTAAAGCAAATCACACAAGCTCTGATTCGACCAAAGAAAAACATGTACGAATGTGTGAATATAAGCAGACTGGTACTGTTTTTCTGAGAGGGAAATGAACTTTTCCTTTTCAACATAAAGGACATACATAATGATACAAATTGTTAAAACTACTTCTCATCTTCCAAAACTGCTATTTCACCCCTTTGATCTCTACATGTATTTCTTTATCTCCTTATAGTAAGTTTTTACATGTTTTTATTTTCTTTTTGTTTTCCTTTTTCTTGTCATTTTCATGAAGATAAAGAGAAAAAAAAAAAGGCAGTAAACCTAGGGAAATAAATGTAAATAGAAAAATTTGGGTTTTTTTGCCATATGGTATGACTGGCAAGGCTGTGTATTGAAAGACTATGCAGAAAGATGAACCATTTGCCATTTTAAGTTTTTTGGTTGAGGGTTGTAAAACAGAGGGAAGGGTGCTGGGGGGTTGTGTGTGTAACTATCACAGTTACATTTCAGAGCTATTTCTGCACAGACATCAATCAGGACCATACCAGACGGTGGTACAGAATTAATCCACTAGTTAAATTTTTATCTTAGTGTCTGTGAAGCACTTGTCATCACTGAAAATGAAATGTTTGGATTTGCTGCAAAATAGCCTCTACTAAGTCACACTGCTCATTTTACCTGTGTGAAATGATGGTGAAAAGTAACAGTCAAACTAGACAGCGTTCTTGCCTCCAACTTGGCAGAAGCCTGTTCCTAATCTATGTGAAAATACTGGTTTCTTCATTTCCATTGTGAATCAGACTAACCTTTTATTTCCTGTACCTCAATACCAGCCTTTTTAACTGACCGATGTTCCATTTCTGTAAAACAAAATTATTCTTCAGGACAACTGACATTTCAGAAAGACAGTGACATTTCTCTGCTAGCTTTCTCAAATGTTCAGTACAATCCTACAGTAAACAATCTCGTCAGTTTCACCAAGGAGAGTCAATATAAATGATTAAATAGCTCACAAGGCCATGGAAATAAGAAAGAGCCTGATCCATGGAAGGTGTTTGCAATAAGTAACTGTTATGCCACAGAGAGATTTTATGGGCACATGTAAAGGTTCAAAGGAGTCTGACAAAAATAAAAATGTTCATTGTAATCAAAATCACAATGGATTAAAGGCTGGCTGAAGCAGGGCTCATTAGCTACTACAGTTTCATATTGCAGATAAAGCTAAAAAGAAAATTATATACAAGGACTTTCCTCCACCTGCAGGTGATGAATAATTCCATTATTATTTTATTCTTGTATCTCTTTAAATAAAAGCTCAGAATTTTTGTTGTTCAGATTACTATATGCACGTAAAGTCATATCCAGTCAGAATTACAATTTATGTGGTCCAGTCTCCTGCTACTAAGAGCAGCTGATACCAGATGCCCCAAAGGAAAATCCATGAATTACAACTGGACAAATACAGAATAACTAGCTTAGTCAGAAGTTCATTTATAACAGCAGAGTCTTACTGGTTGATTAACACCCTGAAGCCTGAGCTTTATCTCTCTCATACATTTTTTATCCAGTATAATGTAACAGTGGATTATATTTTATTCCTGTAAAATATCTAAACTCTCTTTCAATCCTACTAAATTGATGTCTCACTAATCAGGTCCCTCTCGCTGAAGTCAGGCTGCTTGCCTTGGGTATTACTAGATTAGAACTGGGAAGTGTTTCCACTTCATGGAAATAGGACTTCTAATTATGCTAGATTCATTTTCTAATGATAAAGACCCCACTGAAATTTATATAAATTTTAAGTTGACTTGTGTTTTTACTTTAGCCCCTGAGAGTTTCCTGTATGATAACCTCAAAAGGAAGCAGTTGACTTCTCAGCAAATGATACACTAAAACTACTAAAATGCAGAAAAAACATGGTATTGTTTAAGTAGGTAGTGACAGGACAAGGGATAGATGTACCACAGGGCAACTGCATTTTGATTCCTCCTGTGACAAACTCATGCACTCAGGACACTTGTTTGATAGGGCATGCAGCAATGCTAAGAATGGTCTTTTAATGCAAACAGATCCGTAGCACACAGATTCTGCAGGCAGAGCTTGTAGGGTACTTAAATCATTGTCATTAAGCCAAAAAAGCTTTTGGTCAGTGGTACCAGCTAAGAGGAACTGACTTGAATATACAGAATGTGAAGTTATGACATTAAGAACAAAAAGAACATACTTTCTGTGGATGCAAACTTCCACACTGCTCTGGCATGAACATCTCCCACAAATACTGTTTTATCTTCTGAAGCAACAACATCATGTGGCATCTCAAAGCTCTGTGAAGATAAGCAGTCACAGATTATTCTTTAGTGTCTACATGTCCATGAGGTCTCCTTAATCCTGGACTTGAGACTGGTCATATTCAGTTCTTGGAATGGAAAAAGCAGTAGCTGATGGTGTGAAGGCCTAACAGGAGTCAGGGGAGAGGAATTAAATTTCTATGGTATGTTTGTCTTCTCCAAGAATAACAACATGGAGATTATTCAAAGTATTCAACCAAAATATTTTTTATATTTATAGTATTTATAATATTTATTAACTTATAATATTTATGAATTTATAATATTTATAATACTTATATCTATATTTTTGCATTCAATTTCATCCTATGAAATATATATTTAAAAAATAATGACTCTTGGTCTCAAGCCCCCATATTTAGTTTTTGTCAGAGTTTGTATGCAACACAGCTATTTGCTATACTCAGGAACAAACCCTCTCTGTAATATAATTTAAAACTCAACTGCAAATAACAGAATATATGTGTAACCCAGAAACGTGAATCTTCAAATTCATTCTTTAGTCTAAGACGATCTATGGTATTATCTTTTTTAATAACCATAATTTTTAATGTACAATTTTGTATGACTGACATTTAGCCTTGGCTTCCAAACTAACCTTCTGTAAAGAAGGGATGTAACCATACAGCTGAATATTATTTCTGCTTAGGAATACACTCTACTTTTTGTCAATTTGTTATCATCTAAATATATTAATACATCAAGCCATTCACTCTTCTCTTAAATTAGCTTTTAAGAACTGTCTGATGGCAATGAAGTAAACGTTATTCTGAATGAAGTTGTTATCTGTAAGAATCACCTTGAGGATAGTATATTTTCCAAATGTGTACCACATGTAGCAATTAAGACCTGAAATTCTAGTGTCTTACTCAGTTAATATGATAAAGAATTCCCTTTCAATACCTTACATTATAAAATATCTTATTTCCTATGATGGTTTTATGAAAGTTGGAGAAGTAGGATGCTACCAACATTTTCATATATATAATTATAGGCACCAGGCACTTTGTCCAACACTCTTACCTTTCTAAGTGGAATAAAAGTATCAATTATTTCTCCAGTAGAGAAGTTCATCACAAATCCTTGTACTGGTTCTGCCTCTCCAGGGTAAGGCATTCCATTAACTGCAAAGAGGAGACCTGCAACAACACCAGATTTGCTTTAAAAACACACATAAAACAAACTATAGTCAAGATGAACTGGAATAGTATAGATGAAAAAAGCATGGCTGAGAGAAAAAGAGAGACAGACTGAAGTGCTATCAACTTAATACGAAACTAAATCAGAAGAGGAAAGTTAAGCAAGGTATTGCAGGTGAAAGCTTGGCATATAAAAGACGCACATTTTATTCAAAGGAGAAGAACAAGCCAAGCAATAGATTACAGATTGGTTAAATGTAAAAAAAGAACCTGAAAGCATTAAAAAAAAAAAAGTATCTGAAGAATGATTTGATAAGGATGCTTGATGGGATAATGGAGTGTTCTTTAAATGCATGAAAAGCAGAAAGCCAGCTAGGGAATCGGTGGGACCACAAGAGGAAAACGTCTGAAAGGGCAACTCAGGTTGACAAGGGGCCTGTGGCAGAGAAGCTCAGGTTTTGGTTTTTTTTTCTGTTGAGTGTGTTGGGGAGATTCTGACAATTTTTTTGTAGCTAATAGGTCAGAGGCGCCAGTTCAACTGGAAGGAGATACACAAAAGATGTTAGACAAGTTGGAGGTTAATAATTCACCAGGGTTGGATAGCATTCACTGAAGTTCAGAAGGAAGTCAAATGAGAAATTACGGACTTCAGGCCAAGCTGGAATAACCTAGCACTGCAAACAGCCACTGCTTCAGAAGACCAGCAGACTGCCAAAGTAACGCTCTCCTACAAAAAGGGCTCAAAATGGTGCCTGAAAAGTATGCATCAACTATTCTGGCCTCCATCCCCAGTAAGATGGTAGAAACCATAATGAAAAATAAGACATTTACCCATGTGGACTGTTGGAAACAAATTGGTAAGTCTTTCTTTAAGGGGAAATTGTGCCTCACCTCTCAATGGGGAGAAAAAGCATACAGCGAAATGAGTTTCTGTAGACATGCTTGGACTTTCAGAAAACCTTTGACAAGGTTGTGCATCAGAAGCTATTACAGAATGTGAGTTATCACAGGGCTGAATGAAAGACCCATTAATGAACAAGAAGCAAAGAACAGAGCTTAAGGGCAGAGCTTATAATTTTTCAGGATGGAGAAGTCTGAGTAGTGCGATCCTGCAGGGATTGCAGACAATTTCAGTCAATAGTCTTCATCAATGACCTGAAAAATGGGGAGAACAGTGACATCTCCCAGTCTGAGGAAGGTACTGAGTTCTGCAGAGTAGTCAAGAACTTGAGGATATTGAGAAAGTCTTGAGACTGGATTATTCTGCCTTTCAAGAAAGACCTAATGAAGTTAAAGATGTTAGAAGAGCAAGGCAACTACAATAGTCAATGGGCTGAACAATTTAATATCTCACAGGGAGAGATGAAGGTGGCTAGAGTTCTTTGGTTTGGAGAGGAGAAGCTAAGAGGCAACAGATCTGGGGAGTGTTTTTCACCAACTCCCAAAATGCTGAGACTTTGAATCACTCAATGAAACTGTGTCACTTTTTTAGATTAAAAAAATAAAGCGGGTAGCGAACTTCTGGATCCGGTAACTGCAGGATCAAGGGGGCAGACAGTACAAGCCAGTCGTAATGGGATTAGGAAAACTCATGGGCAATAGGTCTATAGGAAGATACTATGAAGAAGAGATCAGGAGCTACCCCCGAACACCCTTAAATAAAATGCTTGTGGATGCATGAGGAGCAGGAGAGGAATGGATCACAGAATGCAGCCAGTCTTACACATTCTCCTTAGAATGCCTCTGGTGCTGCCACTGTCAGAGACAGATCTATAGGTAACAAGTATCTCATCCAGTAGAGCATTTCTTGGGTTCTTGGCAGATGTAAGAGAGATAGTCCTGATACTAAATTTCATACTAACTACACAGTCAGCCTGACATGACAAAATTGCTTGTCCACTTCTTTGGATGCTCACATTACTTTCAGCGTCAGTATTAAAAATCTAACTCCAAAACTTATTACAGTAATTGTTAGCCAAATTGTGGTATTAAAATCAACACATTTTTCAAACTGTTAAAGTTTTTTTTTATGAAACCCAAAACTTTTCTTGATAATTTGAAATGTTTTTATTTTTCCTTCTTTAATGGACCCTGAAATGTATATTTTAAAGCATTATTAACAAAGTATTGACTGTGCAGTCACTAAGAAGCAAACAAGATCTTCCAATTGTTGACATAACATTTAGGGAGTCTAATCAACCATTTGTCAGAAACAGAGATTATATACAACCTTCCCTCATGTCAGAAGTAGGAAAACAGGACAGCTGTCAAATTTTCCATCATATCAGCTCTACTTTGAAAGAGAATAAATATCTGTCCTAACATGATGATAACATGATGCACTCCATATGAAGTAACACTGTACTACAATACACTGGCATAAAACAGCTACTTAAATATACATACCTACACTCCTAT